ATAGATAGATAGATAGATAGATAGATAGATAGATAGATAGATAGATAGATAGATAGATAGATAGATAGATAGATAGATAGATAGATAGATAGATATGCCGGAAGTTGCATCACTGTGCTTCTGCACTATGGTCCCGTCCTGTCCCGCCGGATGTGGTCCGTTACCCGCAGCAGCCAGCGCTCCAGCCCTCCCTCCCGCCGTGCGCGCAAGTGTGCGTCTGCGCGCGCTTGTTCACAGGGAAGACTGCAGCCATGCGAGGGGCTCGAAGCATACGTATGGAATGAAATAGAAGCGACGTTTTAGCAAATAAGTGATTGAGAGTTGTTAGCACATTCCGCAACCGACCGACAAATAAATATGCCATGTGTAGTGTATCAGGTCAGGAATGAAAAAGAAGGGGGGGGGGACTGGCAGAGAATGGCAGAGAATGGGCGGAGGCGTGGGGTGATGTCGGAAATCATACGTCGCTGGTGTTGCTGGCCCGCACGCATTGAGTCGCGGCTGGGCGGAACACCCACACCTCTGCCCTGTCCCACCAGCGACAAGGTGGGCCGAGTTGGACACTGTCCGAAAAAAATATTGTTGGTCAATTTGGTCAGTTCACCTGGGTTTGTCCATGATGGTGGCCCACGGCTCCTTATAGCCCCGTGCGAGTAGGCAACCCACCAACATGCGTGCATGTGCATGCGGTACAGTATAACTACGAGGGTGCGCGACGTGAGTCCGCCAGCTGCTGGGTACAACTAGATGCAACTGTCGCCCCATACATTGTTAGAAAGACACACATCCCGGATTTTATAGGGATTCTAGGTAAATGACTTCATCTACTTATTGTAAAGCCTACAAGATTACCAATTAAATAGTACCTTGGGATCAGCGTTGCTCTTTGACCTCACCTAGTTCCGATTTCTGTCTACTCGTAACCAGTCGCACCAACACCTGTTGCTCATTTTTACCAACAGTGTGAGCCACTGCCCTCCCCGTTCGCTCGCAACCGGCCCTGCTTGCTGCTGCCGCCGCTGCCGTCGGGGCGGGGCCGGCGGGGCTGGCAGCCAGGGCCGGCAGGACGGGGCAGCCGGAGCAGCCAGCCCGCCCGCTGGGCTCGGCCCAGCTCGGCCGCAGTCCGTCCGACTCGGCCCGTCGTCCGCCGTCGCTGGCTGCCATCCCTGGCTGGCGGTTTACGTAACCAGCTGCTGCTGCCGCTGCCGGAGAGGCCCTCGGCACGGCGGGACAGACGAGGCTGGCGGCCGGCGGGCGCAGACGCTGGACCGGGCCCTCTCCATCCATTCATACCCATGCGGTTGGCGCCAGGTCCCCGACGACGGCGGACAGCCCGAGTGAGGGGGACTTTCTCGTGACGCGCGAAATCGAACAGACGAGGAGTGATGTTCACAGGATAAGGGAAATAATTTGGCGCATCTGTCTTCTGCGGTGGAAACGGTGAACGAACCGCCAGCACACCACCGGAAGTGCGAGAGCGGGAGAGAGGGGCGGGGGTGAGGGAGCGAGACGAGGATGGGTGGATTTTACGGAGTCCCTATCTGTAGAGAAGGTCGGCTAATCGGCAGCATTCTACACGATTGGAGGATGATTTTCCATTGCAGTTTTTAACCTTACTCCTTCGTCGAAGCCGGCAAAAACCGGTATCCTCCAAGACGGGCCAGAGGCAGGGACTACAGGCGACTACAGTCCGGGCGGCAGGGCCCCGCTGTAGGCCGGGCCGGCTACAGCGGGGCTGGGCTGGGCCCCTGGCTCCGCACCGGGGGACCTGTTTCCGGTGCAGAGTGGTCGGACGGCCTCCGGGGCCTCTCGCCCATGTCTAGCCCCTCACCGCCCCACCACCCACGTCCCCGCCCCAGGACCTGCCCATACCAGCATTCCAGCGAGCTGGGGGAGTGTCCTCCTTTGCAGCTAATAATATGCGACTGATCGAGGAGGCCGAAGCCTTGTGTGTGCGTGTGTGCGAGTGAGAGAGTGAGTACGTGTGTGTACCGGGTGTTTCTTTGCGCGCGCTGGTGCGGGCGGGTTTGCCTGCTCGCGGAGGCAAAGGCACCTTACCGTCAGAGTAGGCACACCCGCACGCTCCGGCGCGAGCAAAAAGAACATATAAAAATAAATAAACACACAAAAAACCCGGTGTGCATG